GCGGAACGCGGGGTGACGTAACAAGCTCTCAACGCCAAGGCTCCCAGTACGAACGGTGGTGTGAGTAATTTCGGTCTGCAGCGCTCTTTCCGTTTCCGTTCCGGCCCATGTCTAGTGGCCTTCGGCCCATCCCGCCGCCGTGCTTGGGCCTGGGCCGAGGTTTAGAGGCCTCTCGGATGCATACGCGCTGGTCGTTGAGAGTGGGGATCCCAATCTGTTTTGGCCGCCCTCCTACTCCAAGAGTCGAGTGGCTTCCGCTCTCCCCTCCTCTTCCAGGGGCCGGCCGGGCGGAAACCCAATCTGCCTCCAACGATCTCTTACTTCATGCCTATGCTGACGAGCGAACAACACACACACACCCATACCCATAGGGGGGTCGTTGGGAGGAGGACTGGCTATGGGTATGGGTGCGGGTTGTCGGACCCTGGGGAACGCTCCCGCTCGAACGGGGACCCCCATCCGACAACACGCACTGATAGCCCTCTCCGACCCCCCTGTGGGTATGGGTGTGTGTTGTTGGTTCGTCATATGCCCACTTCTTCCGACCGCCGGGTCTCGCGGACCGTGCGCTCGGCGGCGGGGCCCGCCGCTCGCAGGAGCAGCCCCCGAGGGAGCCGCGCTTCGAGCTGCCCAAGCGCGCCTCCGGCTCCCAGCTCATCACGTGGCCCAGGCCTTGTGCCCCCTGGGCGCGCGGCCTCCTCCTCCTCCTCCTTCTCCTCCTCCTCCTCCTCCTCCTCCTCCTCCTCGTCCTCCTCCTCCTCCTCCTCCTCCTCCTCCTCCTCCTCCGCCTTTTCCTGCTGCTCCTCCTCCTCCTCCTCCTCCTCCTCCTCCGCCTCCTCCTCCTCCTCTCCTCCTCATCATCCTCCTCTCCTCCCCTCATCCTCCTCCTCCCCTCCCTTCCTCATCTCCCCTCCTCCTACTCCTCCCCCTCCTCCTCCGCTCGCCTCCTCCTCCTCCTTCCTCCTCCCTCCCCTCCTCTGTCCTCCTCCGCCTCCTCCTCCTCCTCTCCTCAGCCCTCCTCCTCCTCCTCCTCCTCCTCCTCCTCCTCCTCCTCCTCCTCCTCCTCCTGCTCCTCCGCCTCCTCCTCCTCCTGCTCCTCCTCCTCCTCCCTCTGGGGCCCCTTTCTGGAGCCAGCAGGGGACCTGGAGGGGCCCCTTCTCCGGCGATTGCGCACGTGGATCAAGGGGGGCGTGGATCAGCGTCGGGTCTCGCTTCCGTGGGAAATCCTGGATTTCCGCCGACGAGCGAGGTAGCGCAGGCCTCATTTTGGGGAGGGCACCTCCCCCGATCCATGGATTTGGCGACCGCTCGCCAAATCCATCCATGGATCGCTAATCCATGTCTCCGCGCCCACGACCTTCGGGGCTCCTTTGTTCACCCCCCATCCCCAGTACCACCCGCCCGAGGGGGGGCTAAAAGTCCTTCGACGTCCCCAATCGGGGTCCGAGCGGTCGAAGGATCTCACCGCATCGCCGCTGCAACGGTGATTCAGCTCGCTGTGGAGCTCGATGTTCTCCACGTCGATGTCGTCGATGTATCGCCGACGTTGGCGACGCGGCGCGATCCGGCGCGCACTGGGGATGAATTGGCGATGCGGTGCGATCCTCCGACCCCATCTACTCCGACCCCATCTAGGAGGCCTCCATAGTCCATAGTCCCAGGTGTGAGGGCGTTTCATGCCTCAGACCCTCAACGTATAGAGCAGAATTACGGCGGAGGCGTTTTTGTTCTGCTCCCGCATTGAACACAACAAGACGTCGGATTTTTGAGTTTGCAGGGCGTTTTATGTACACGTGGACTCATGCAATGTTTGGTCGATGTGGGAGGGCTCTAGAAGACAGAGGAGGGGGTGACAAGCGGTGCGCGGGCAATAGTTATATCCACATCCAGTGCGTCTTGGAGCTCTGGGCTCTCTTCCCTAGAAACCGGAGGCGCACTGGATATGGACAAAAATTTTGCCCCAGAAGGTTTTTGATTTTTATCCATATCCAGTGTGGCTCGGCCTTGCGGCACCCCTTCCCAACAAGTCCACGACGCTCTGGATATGGATATAAGTATTGCCCGCACGGTGCTCCCTTCGTGGCCCGCAGGGGGCTCCCCGGTGCCCACGGGGCTGCCCGAGAGGCGCCCCCATGCAGAAGCGCCCCAGCGCCCCTCGCGGGCGCTCGCCGTCGTGGCCGCCGCTCGCCCTCGCCGCCGGGGGTCCAAGGGGCGATCGGAGGGGCAGATCTCCGACGGTGCTCAAGCAGCGGCGAAGCTCAGAGCCCCGAATCATCCGGGGTAACTCGGGTCAGGGTTAACTCGGGGTCGTTTTTCGGGAATCCGAACCCGAGTTACCCCGGACCCGAGTTACCCCAGATAATTCGGGCATCCAGAGCCCCACATCATCAGGGGTAATTCGGGTCAGGGCTAACTCGGGTTCCTTTGTCGGGAATCCAAACCCGAGTTACCCCGGACCCGAGTTACCCCGGATAACTCGGGCGCCCAAGAAGCGTCTTGACTTCCCTATCGGCCCACCAACACACGCGCTAAGAACAGTGGGCGGGTTGTACGACGAGGTCTCAGAGCATGTCTGGCCGAGGCAGGCCTGCCTCCATCCATAGCTGCCACGGGGGGTGAGCATGGTCCCTGCTCTTGTTGAGAGCATGGTGTATTCCGATCCGGGCGTTTTTTTTTCGCGTGCCCCTCCAGGGAAGGGGTCGGGATTTCTGGGGGCGCGGATTGAGACAGTCAGATCGTCGGATGTCGTGGGGAGGTGCTCGAAGTACACATCACAGTGTCTGGTCAGCCGAGGTCAGGGGCAGCGTTGGGTCCCCGCCTCCTCCTCCTCTCCCTACCTCGACCTCCTCCATCGACCTCTTCCCTCCGCCTCCTCCCTCCATCACCTCCTCCTCATCCTCCTCTCCACCTCCTCCTCATCCCTTCCTCCTTCTCCTCCTCTCTCATCCTGGCTTGATACGGTGCCTGTTCCCTCGTGGTCTTCGCGTCGTTTCTGCTTGCCGATGCACCCGCTCGTACTCTTTCGGCATGGGCCGTGCACGGGCTACGCCCGAATCTCGGGCTATGCCGTCCGTACCCAAGGTCCAGAGTGGTGCCGAGTTTGTAGATGTGAGTGGGCTACCCCGTAATTCTCCGCAGTCCGAGCCGACGTTAAACTCTTTCGTAGCGCCGCCGACGCCCACCTCATCCTCCTGAGGAAGAGGGAGGATACTTATCCTCAATCGCTGTGTCTGCATCGTCCACCACCACCACCACCACCACCACCACCCCTCAGCCTCCACTTCCACCTCCTCCTTCTCCTCCTCCTCCTCCTCCTCCCCTTCACCTCCTTCTCCTCCTTCCCTCCTCCCCCTTGTTGACGGGGACTCTTCCGCACGCTGTGCTTCATCCCCTCCTCCCTTCTCCCTCCTCCTTCCTTCCCCCCTCCTCCTCCTCCTCCTCCTCCTCCTCCTCCTCCTCCTCCTCCTCCTCCTCCTCCTCCTCCCCTGCAGGCCCTCCTCATCCTCCTTCCTCCTCCCCCTTGTTGACGGGGGCTCGTCCGCACGCTGTGCTTCATTCCCTTCTCCTCCTCCTCTCTTTTCCCCCTCCTCCTCTCTTCTCCCCCTTCTCGGCTCCTCCTCCTCCTCCTCCTTGCCTCTCCTCCTCGTCGTCTTCCTCCTCCTCCTCCTCCTCCTCCTCCTCCTCCTCCTCATCCTCCTCATCCCCGTTCTCCCTCCTCCTCTTGCTCCTCCTCCTCATTCTCCAATTTCTCCTCCTCGGCTCGGAGGAGGAGGAAGAGGAGCGACAATGATCCTTGCTCGCTGGGCCGGCCCTCCCGACGGCTCCGCGCTCGGGACCTTCCCGCGCGCGCTCGGGCCGTGCGCCGTCACGAGAGCGTGAACCTGGGCCTCCTAGATGGGTCGGAGTAGATTCGGCGTCGCCCCAACAGTAGATTCTGCGTCTTCCTCGTTCTTATCGTTGCGCTTCGACGGTAACAAATGTGACGTAGAGAATTGGCACTATAGTGTACATTAGACGCGCAGAACTCGTCGCTCGTCTGGGGAGCACTTCGCCCCCGGGTAACGTTTAAGGGGCCCGCTGCCGTCATTCAGAGGTTGCGCGAAGCTTTGCGTCGTGGGGAAAAATCTACTAAGACTATATGTGCGTCGCCCCCCCCAGTGGCGACGCGCGCGTCGAAAAATCTTATAGTATATGCGTCGTGGCGGGCGCTTTCTGGCCATGCCGCTCGGAAAACAAACAAAATACTACAAGATGGATATATGATATGTTCGATTCGGGCGCGCGCCTCCGAGGAGAACATATAGTACTAGTATGTCTCCGTGCGCCCCATAGATGGGGTCCGGGGACCGCGCCGCATCGCGAATGTATCGTCGATGCGGCTCGATGCGGTGCCCGATCTGATTCACGTCGACGTCGCCGATGCATCGCCGACGTCGACGATGCGTCGCCGGTGCATCGCCGATGCAGCGCCGAGGTATCAGCGATGCGGCACGATTCTCCGACCCCATCTACTCCGACTTCATGATGGGGACCTCTATGGAGGCTTGCATACTCCAAATGTCGTAACAAAAGGGGGGGGTCACAACCCTCCCAGACGAGCATTCTTTAGACCCCCCCCAGACCAGCCACGAGCGGGCAGACCCCACTAAAACCTTCCAAGACAGCCCTTATCAGACCCAACGAAGTCAGGCCACCCCCCTTTTGTGCAATCCGGGTGCCTGTTATTGAAAAACCGCCGAACACGACAGGATCCGTCGTAATCTTTTCTGTTATGGGTAGACCGATCTCAATCGTGTGCGTAAAACGACCTGATCTGGCGGTTTGGTGGTTCTCAAATCTAGATCAGCGGCCGTTTGGGTCTTTTGACGAAGATTTCCCCATGCCGTCTCTTTGCAAGCAACATTACCTGGTGATCTGCCCAACCCTTTCTAACAAGATGGCACCTCTATGTAGGACCGCTTGGTACAACCACAGATGTTGAGGGACTCGCAGTGAGCATGGGTCCCCAGAAGTACACAACCGACACTAAGGAATGGCAAGATAGTCGTGGAGCCAGACGCATGCGGAGGAGGGTGAAAAGTTGGGTATACATAGCCAGTGATAGTAACAGCGCGGAGCGCTGCGAACGCGGGACAGAACAGCGCCATGCGTTCTGAAAGAACAGCGTGTCGCGCTGAGCGAGGCAAGCGAACGGGGTCGCATGGCGGGCCTGAGGCAGCTGAGAATGGAAGGCCTCGCGGCAAAAGACAGCGCCTTGCGCCGCGTGGCGCAGGGGCCCCCTGCGATCCGCGATGCGACAGCGCCGAGGGCTGCGTGACGGGACAGCGCTGGGCGCTATGGGACCTTCAGCAATTTTTGTATGAGAGCCGTCGCCGACAGTTGCAGTTCTCGTCGCCGCCCACGCCAGTGAGGCGCTGGCGACAATTGCCGCGAACTCGCCTGGCGCCGCAGGCAAGTGTTTCCGTCCGTCGTGCAGGAATTGCCCCAGGCCGAGCTCGCGCGCCAACCTCTGCCGCGAGGAGGCCAAGGAGCTGCGAGGTCTCAACGGGATCTCCGTACCACTCCACTCCTCTGGACCTCCCTGGAGCCCGCGAAGGTGACGACGAGTTCACGCTTCGCAGCCTTCCAGGCGGTTGCGAGGTCCCAACTGGGTCCCCGTGACACTCCATT